TAAAGATAGGGATGTCTCCACTATACTGGAGCCAAATAGGTACAGGCCAGAGGGGCGTCTGGATCTGGGAGTGATTTTGGACCGGGTGCCCTGTGGAGGGTAGGAGGAGGGAGCAGGGAAGACGAGGACTCACCAAGTTGGCTGAGGCCCTGGGATCAGGTCCTGTTCCGGAGAGAGGTCCCAGGTGGGCAGAGGAGGGTGGAGCCCACTGGGGCCCCACACCATCCTCCCAGGTTTCGGCACCAAATGTAAGGTAAATGAAACCAGACCAGGCAAGTGGCAACAAAGGAGCCAAAAAAAAATTTATTAGCGCAATTCTGGGCGAGATTCACTGTGTCCACGCATGGGCCAGGGAAGTTGTGTCCAGTAGGAGGGGTGACAGGCTTATTAAGGGCGCTGGGAGAGCTCTGAGGGTATTGTGAACAGAACTAATTGGCTGGTGTGGGTGTTGTAATCACCAATGACTGGTCATGCTGGGTTGCTGGGGAGAGAGTACTACCATGCGTGTTCTAGGCGGGACCTGCGGCTAGGGACCTTTCGTTGAATCATTTGAGTGACATTCGCCATTCTCTTCCTTACTTGGCTCGAGTTGGGTTCCTCCAGTGAGACCTGTCCCTTCCTCCAGTACCTCTGGTCTTACACATGGCAGTCAAGCACTGGATGGGAGAACACTTCAGTTACATAGAGAAAAGACAGAGCAGGGTCAGCTACAGTAGTGGGTGTCAGACACCAGAGTCGGTGGGTCTCTCCTAGCCAGACACAAGCAATTAGTGTAGACATCCACCTTTCTCATGTGATAGTGGAGGAAACCCTGTTCCTTATCCTCAGAGGACAGATAGAGCAGTGACATTGGCCAAATGCCATGCTTTAAGTGCACAGGCTTTAAGGAAAGATAAAAGTGTACTCATTGAGCCTGAAATAAGGTAAGATATTCCCACACGAGGTGAGAAACCAGACACAGTCTGCATGAGCTCTTTAACTCTTGGTAAGGAAGTGTTCCAGACTCAAGGCCTGTTCTTTACATGGTTGAGTGGGGGCTTGAGACATTTTCTAACACAAGGTTTTCTAGTTTTGTTTTTTTTCCTCTTATATGCTCTTTTTGGAAATTTTCTCCCAATTCTTAGGTCCTCCTCTTGCTTCTTTTTGTTTTATGCCTCTGGTACTGGATGAAACCCATGGAAAGGAAGCCTAAGTAGAATGAGACATCCTGTTTCATATGCAGTCCTGCCTGTTCACTAAAAATAGGTTCTATCCTGAGATTTGGGAGTCAAAGCTTTAGCACTGAAAAAGAGATTTAATCCAGTATCTTTTCTGCAGGCCTCCTTTGTTAACCAGTATCATCAACAGAATGTTCAGGATCTCAGTCTCTCCCATCTTCCTACCATGGAGACAGGACTCCCATGTACCTCAGGCAAGATGTTATCCAAGTTGAAATGCTGGGGATCCTGTTCGATTCTTATTTACCACACATCAATCATTTGTTGATACTCTTAAATCTGACATGCAACTGAGCAAGTACCTTTGTTTAGTTAGTAGTGACTAAACAGTGCTCCACCGATTCCCAAGAATTTTGTAGACGTGCCTCTGAAGACCACTGCAGGACAGATTAGAGAGGAGAATGCAGGCCATCAGAGCAGTAAGAGTTCATGTTATATACCTTTCTTGGTGCTTTACTATGTGCTGCATAAGTGTGTGTGTCCATTTCATCTGTGAATATATGTGTGTGTGTGTTCATCTATGCAACAACCTTACTGTCATTTTCCTTTGATAGGTGGAAAAATTAAGGCACAGAGAAGTTCAGCAACTAAACTGATACAGTGAGCAAGTGACAGAGTTAGGCTTGGAGCTATGATATTCTGATTTCTGAGCCAGCCTTCTTGATTTCTAAGTTATATTGGGGTTATTGTGTGTTAGGGATTGTGGTGAGTGCTTTACAAACATTATTTCATTTGTACTCATAATGGCCCTGTATGGTGGATACTGTTACCTTTATTTTACAAATGGAGAAATCTAAGGATAAGCAATTTGTAAATTTGTAAATAAATCCCACGCAAAGCTGGATTTACACTTGGATCTGCCTGATCTGAGAGCCTACAGTTTGAAGTCCTATGCTCTACAGATTCTCCTGTTTATAATGACTGCCTGCATGTATGTGCTGTCTTTTTTGCTATCATATGAACTTCTTCAGGGAAGAGGACTGGGAGTTCCTCACCTTTGTCTTTCAGGAGTCTTGGGAAGTACCTGACACACAGTCCATGCTCAATAATGCAAACTGAATTGAATGGAAGGTGTACTTGAGGGATGAAGGTCCTTGGAGCTGAGAAGAATTGGGAACTCTTGAGACTAAGTGATGAAAGGCTGTTCATGTGGATGCTGAAGAGCAAGGAAGGCTAGCAGAAAACTGTTAGACACCAAAATCATTTAGTAGGGCAGGTGATGCTGTACTTCTGGTAAAATGCTTGGGAAGGCTGACTGATTGCCCAGCCAGAGCCACAGAATGGCTATGGCTCAGTGTGGTTACCATAGTTCAGGTTTCAGTCTTCTGTTTTGCTGTTCCAGAAACTTAGTTTCTCTCTGTTCTCTAAAATGAGCGGGTTTTCATGTTGACACACTAAAGGTTCAAGAAACTATTAAATAACCAGAATACCACATTAAACCAAACTACCTTGACTGGAATTTTCTTTTTTTGACTGTAATGGTCTTCTGAGAAAGGTAGAAGGCAGACTAGGAAAGACAGGCATTCACTTTAGTGTCCTGTTTGGAGAAAATCTGCATAACTAGAAGGGGACGGTCATCCCAGAACAATGAAGGAGGCCTGGCAATACTGGTGGAAGCTGTATGAGATTGATCTAAGCACACTTGTAAATATGAGCCTTATAGCCTTATAGCAAGTGCTCATTAAATGCTAGCTGCTATTTTTGTTATAGACAAGAATGCTTCAGGGTACCTTTAACTGAGAAACACTTTTTGAGATTAGGTAACTCATGCTCTATTTCGACAGTTAACAAACAACCTGCTGATGATTTCACTTCATATAGAGAACATATGTAGGCCAGGAAAGTGCTGGTTCATTTATCTCAGGTTCACTTTACTGATGTTTCTTCTTGCGACTAATATTGATGATATTCAATTCTGGAGCATGGGTCTGTGTCGCGTGCCCTGTCCTCGCCGGCAAGAACAGCATGCAACAACAGCAGGATTCTTCTGCAGAAAGCTTTATTCTTCAGCTCTTTGTGAAACAAATGAGTTGGGCAGGACCCAGAGGGGAAGGAGAGGCTTGCTTATATAGTTCTCATGCTCTGACCTGGTTGGTGCGGCTCCATATGCCTTATTAGCATAACCATTTGGTGGGTCTCATTGGTCCTTATGCCAAGGCGCAATTAGCATGTAGTTTAGTGGTGTGGGATGATTTGTCATTAGGAAGTTCGGGGCCTTCCGGCTGCCCTGCATTGGGCGCTATTTTCTGAGCGCGGCTGCCAACAGGTCTGTGTGCTTGTTTAAAGGGAGTCTGCCTCAGAGGACAGAAATCTCTCCCTGTGCAATACAGAGTAGTGGCTTCTGGAAGCAAACAACCAGGGTTCAATTCCTGGCTTTTATCTTGTATTATTGCAATAACTTTGAGTAAGCTATGCAATTCTCTATGCCTCAGTTTGCCTTCTCTGTAAAATAGGAAAAATAATAATTCACAATTCCAAAAGTAGTTGTGAGAACAAAATAAGATGATGCACAGGGCCTGGCGCAAAAGAAGCCCTCAATAAATGTGAGCTTTTAACGTCAGGTTCCTGAGCTTGCCAGACCTGGACCAAAACCTGGACTGTGGGGAATAATCAAGCTAAGTGCTACCTAGTCAATGAGCCTAGCTCCCCAAGGTGACATCCTGTATTTGTCTATGGATCAATATACAAAAAATTGTTGATTTTTGAAACAGATCACTAATACTTATATAGTCTCAGATATTTACATTTATGAACTCATTCAACATTTCTGGCAACCCCAAAAGGTAGGTACTATTATCTCTATTTTACAAATTAGGTAATTGAAGTATAGAGAAGCTAAGTAATTCACCCAAGTGAGTAAATTGTGGCTTTCACTCCAGGAAACACCTTGTATTCATTTTTATTCACAAACTACCTCTTCTTTCTCACAATCACATCATTAAAGAATCGGTATTTCGCAGTGAGAGGGGGATTGAAAACTCATTTTTTCTTTCATCTGTACCAATGTTTTAAAGATGTTGTTTCTGCTTTCTTAGTGAGCTTTGAATCCACCCATAAATGCATCTGTGGTTATAACACGTGGCGGGATGCTTTGTTATTTGCAAATAATAAAATAAAAGCAAACACAAGGTTGTTCACTAGCTATTACATAGCAGCCATCACAGAATATGCCTTTAATTGTATTTTTCACTTATTTTTCAAGGTGGCCTGTCACCGTGTTTTAAAAAACCAGAGGTAGGAAGAACAAATGTATAAACGCACTTTATCTTCACAAAGTTATGTCTATAAAATTGGATAGGCGTGCATTTATTAACCCCTTGCGTGTTGGCATTGTATTTGGCAAACATGCAAGGCAGTAAAACTAACATTTCTGTGGCCTTTTACAGTTTGCAAAGGAGCCTTCCAGAAGATGCTTACTTAGTAACTGCAGTGCTGAAAAGAAAGAAATAGCCAACTTTTCTCTGCTTTTGCACATCTCTTTCCTTAACTCCTGGAAATTAGGAACCTTTGTCCAGTGTACTTCGGTAATTTTTTACCTAAGCTGCTCATTACAGCAACGGTTTGGCCCCCAACTTTGTCTAGGACGCTCTCATTAGTCCAGCGGGGCTCTCGGGTTGGCCAAAATCTGCGCATGCGCAGAAGCTCAGCAAACTGAGGGCGGGCTAGCGCCTCAGGCGCCTCCTCACCCCCCCCCGGCAAACGGGAAGCGGGTGAGTGTCACGGCGCGTGCGCAAATGTGGCTGGGGAGCTGGGGTGGTGGGTTATGTCTGGAGTGCGCATGAGCAGACAAACTCTACGTCCGTTTGTCCGGAGGAGAGGGGAGAGTGGGCGCCATCTTCTAGGCTCGCTGAGGGCCCTACCTGTTTTGGGAAGGTTGCAGCGACGAGGAGTGCCCCCCGACCTCGCCTTGTGTGTCCGACTCTGCAGCAGTGGTGTGTGTTTATTGCCAAGTGCGAAGCAGTTGCCCTTGGGGTGTCGGGGTTGGGGAGGGGTTGGCGACGGGGATGGAACAGGGAAAGGCGGGGCCGGCGGCCGCGCCAGAAACTAGCGTAGCTTCTGCTGTTAAGGCACCTCTTTCCTTGCTGAACATTGACTCTCCCGTCATCCTCCATGCGGTGTTGGGTGTGCGCTTCCCAGTCTTCTTGAGATTGAAGATCTTGTAGGATTTCTTAGGTATTTTTTTCTTTGCTATGTCATCGTAGTCGGTGGTGGCAGAAACGCGCTGAAGGCCCAGCCCGTTAGGCTCGAGAGGGGCCAAAGTGTTTCAGTTAGATGTGGGGGCAGTCATCCCGTGGCGAGTTAGGGTGGAATGTTTGCCCTTGGGTTGGCGTAACGGAAAGGCACGGAGGTTGGGCGGTCCAGGTTAATAAGAAGACTGATTTTGGCTGAAGGTCTGGCGACAGCATCGGATTCCACGTAGCAACTTTGGCCTGACTCGAAAGAAGGAAGCTCTGTTCCCTGGGAGTATGGACAAAGGCTTTGGTCTCTTTAGAAGCTCTACCTTCGGATATTCCCCGTTTGAGGATGATGGATGTTATGGGAAAACCTACGCCGCGTGGATTCGTCTTCATTTACAGTTTCTGCGGGGGACTATGGCGGTGTCGTCATGTTTTTGGTTTTTATTTTAACCATCTACATTATAAAAGCATAAAGGCAGAGAGCATCAAAGAGTAGTTGTGGACTGGGGTAGATTATTTTCTTTAAGGGAAACTCCTGCGTTTATAATTTGAATGTGCTTCACCATACCTTTGGGTTTTAAGAAATAGTCGTTTTTCTCCCTCTCCATGTCAGGGAAGTGACTTGTTCGCTGTTTAAAATCAAATGGATTTAAGATAATACCTATTTAAATTTAGTCTCCCCTTTCCCTCTCAAGTTTGAGAGGATTACAAGATGCACACTTCGTGTTTAGAGATAATGGTGATCAAGTGGGATAAATCGTAGGATGAAATAAGCATTGTTTAAAATGAGCTTATTTCAAGGACTTTACATGAGCTTTTAAGAACCCACTTTCCTTTCATAGGTTAGAAATTATAACACTGTCTTTAAAACAAAAATACTTTTGTTGCGTTTGTAAGTAGAAAAATTTTAAGTACAGAGTACTTTCGGGTGTTTTATGCGTTTTTATGTTTTTGTAATTCTAAGGATAGAATTTCCGGGGAATTTGCTTAAAGAAATAACGGGAACCGCAGGAAAAGTGCTCATTTTAAGAGCTGGTCTCTTATTGGAGGCCTCCTAGGTGTGTTACTGCAGGGGGATAAACAGGCAAAAAAGTCTGAGTTAATTTGTAACTGGCAAGTTAGAACAAATGTTTTATATATAGTCAACTTGAATTGGAATTCATGAGATTGTACTTAGGGAAGTACTCAAAATATTTTTAAGTAAGGGAGAGTAATTATAGAGGTTTATTGAACTTGACAAAATTTTTTGACACCATTCTAACTTTTCTTGTTAATATACTGATGTTCTCAGGGTAAATTTCTTTTAAATTTAGAAGTAAAGTTTAGGAGAGAGAAAATGATGTGTGTCTTAAAGCTGCTTTCTAAAATATTTTAAAAGTAAAAAGGAATCTAAGTCAATTTGCCTAGGAAGGAGTCTTGGAACTTTAATGTTGGTATTGGTTTGTTGAGGAAACTAGGCTTATGCTCATTTTTTATTTTTGGTACTATGTAGATTTTCTTTCTGAAAGGCTTTTTTTACCGAAGTTTTTTAGGTTTGTACCTTTAGGTACTGAGATTTTCCATATAACTTGTTCCTCACATGTACCTTGCAAGTATTTTAATAGAAAACCTCATTAATATTTTAAATACCATTTTGGCATTGATAATTCAGCTGTAGAATGTGCTAAGTGATTTCTTGATATGTTTGTTAGTTTAGCTTATAGTTTAAAAAAGTTTTAATCTGTGGACCCTGTTCAAAGGAAAATAAACCTGGCAGACCTACAAAGAATATGTCTTCAGGCTGCACTTTTTGGAAGAGCAGTATTTAGGTATAGGTTCTTAGCTAAAGCAATGTTTATTTGCACATTGCAAACATGAATTTATAATTTAGCAGGACTTCAAAACTTACTTGGAAAGATTACACTAAATATTGTAGTGTGTTTCTGAAAAATACTAGATGTAAATTTCCTTAAAGAAATACTAAGTTGAGACTTTTTTCAGTCATAAATACTGATAATGCCCAAACATTCCAAATTAATGTATTTTTATATTTTTGCTTTTCTACATTGGCTTTCATCAGAATGCAGGACACTTGATTGAAATGGAATAAACTTACTAACATAATATGATTCTGTATTTAAACATTTTCTGTTTGGCTTAAGATGAATTTTAATAGTAATAGTTTTAGCCATTTAAGATAAGAGTAGTAGTAGTTGAGATTTTTGATTTTTAGGGATATTGTGGTACTTGCCTTATTTATTAGATTGGAGTGAGGAAATTTGGTTCCATGTTTGGAAGTATTTGCTGTGTAGTAGAACTTAAAATTGTATACAAGTGGCAGCCATTGGTTTGGATTTATTGCTTAAAAAATTGATTTTTAATTCGAAACATTAGTGTTTTGTTTGTTTATTGCACCACTTTGAATGGTTGCTTTTTTTGATTTGGTCTTATACTTTGAAAGAGAAGAGAATTGCAAAAGAGTTGTGTATAATAACAAGATAGATGTTTGGTCTTTTCATGGGTGGAAGTGATACAAGTTTTGGGGGGAATTTATGGTGTTCTTAAATTGTATTACTTGTAGAACAGTTTTTTTTTTTAAGTGGATTTACAATTTATATACAGTTAAATTCACAGACTGTGGATAGGATTCATTTAGCCTTGATAAATGTATACACACATATAAACAACACTCGAGTCAAAATGTGTAACATCTTCACTGCCCCTTTACTAGTGCCACTCCCAGTCAAGGAGCAATTTTTTTTTAATTTTGAGAAGGTTGTTTTAAAATAATTTGCAGATATTTGTACCTTCATTTTGTTGAGGGATGATTAATTTCCTCTTGGAACAAAGATGACCATTTTGTAGTGCCCATAGTTGTGGTTCCTTATACTGCTTTACTTTGAATAAGTAATTTTGAAGTGAATATCCTAATCTGGCGCTGTTTAAGTCAATTATAGGGTCTAAGGATTAATTATATTTCATTTTCTTTCCACAGTTAAGTTGCTTTTACAGAATTAACAGGTCTCCAAGAAATAAATAAAAGGTAAGATATCCAGAGCTTAAGGCTTTTCACAGAGGCTTGACAAAAATGTGAAGTACAATAGTACATTTAGGTACACATGGCTTCTGTACTTTATGTCTGGCCAGTGATGTACATATGGTAGGCAATTTATTATCACAAATTATATGCTGACATGGATGGCTTTTCTAAATATGTAAAATTCATTGTGGCTGATAAAATTCTTTTACCCACAAATTTCAGTAGAAGATATGCTTCTAAGTGAGTATGAAAATAGTTTGGTCTTGTGAAGCAGCACTTGGCAGAGTTGCAAAGCAGATCTATTATTTGTGGTGCTCGTACTGTATAGGATTGGTGATATGAAATGTTTCTTCAGAGTAGTTGGTTTATGAGTTTAGATGGGAGAAAGTTTATTCTTTGTTTTAACTAGGTCAATATTTTTGTAATCTCAAATCTTGTTTTCATTTATAAACACTGAAGAACAAGGGAACCAAGTAATTATTTACTAAGTTTAGTTTGGGATAAGGTACTTCAAAAATAAGATTTGCTATTATGTGTACCTTTTTATCTGCAGGTCATTATTGCTGTGGTTTGAGCTCAGCATGGCTGTAGTCATCCGTTTACTGGGGCTTCCTTTTATTGCGGGGCCTGTGGATATTCGTCACTTCTTCACGGGATTGACTATTCCTGATGGAGGAGTGCATATAATTGGAGGGGAAATTGGGGAGGCTTTTATTATTTTCGCAACAGATGAAGATGCCAGACGTGCCATAAGTCGTTCAGGAGGGTTTATCAAAGATTCATCTGTAGAGCTCTTTCTTAGTAGTAAGGCAGAAATGCAGAAGACTATACAGATGAAAAGAACTGATCGCATAGGAAGAGAGCGACCAGGATCTGGGGCATCAGGGGTTGGCAGCTTATCTGATTTTGTTGAGGCTGTTAAACAAGAAACAAGTAATTCTGGATATGGCTCACCGATTAATCAAGATGCTGGGTTTCATACTAATGGTACAGGACATGGTAACTTAAGGCCAAGAAAGACACGGCCATTGAAAGCTGAGAATCCTTACTTGTTTCTACGTGGTTTGCCTTATTTAGTAAATGAAGATGATGTACACGTTTTTTTCTCTGGTTTGTGTGTGGATGGAGTAATTTTTTTGAAACGTCATGATGGCCGAAATAATGGTGATGCGGTAGTAAAATTTGCTTCATGTATTGATGCTTCAGGAGGTCTTAAATGTCATAGAAATTTTATGGGTTCAAGATTTATAGAAGTAATGCAAGGTTCAGAACAACAGTGGATTGAGTTTGGTGGTAGTGCAATTAAGGAGGAAGACATTCCTGTGAGAACTGAAGAACATTCTCCACCAAGAGGAATTAATGATAGACATTTTCAAAAACATTCTCATTCAAAGTCTCCCAGAAGAACACGTTCCCGTTCCCCTCTCGGATTTTATGTTCACTTAAAAAATCTGTCCCTAAGTATTAACAAAAGAGATTTAAGAAATTTCTTTAGAGATACTGATTTGACTAATGAACAGATTAGGTTTTTATATAAAGATGAAAGGAGAACAAGGTACGCCTTTGTGATGTTCAAGACTCTGAAAGACTATAATACTGCTCTGGGTTTACATAAGACTGTTTTACAATATCGTCCAGTTCATATTGACCCAGTTTCTAGAAAACAAATGCTGAAGTTCATTGAATGTTATGAAAAGAAAAGACCAGCATCAATAGAAAAAGAGAGGCCTGGACATAGTTCACAAAAATACTCTCAAGAAGGCTACAGTGGCCAGAAACTGTGTATATATATAAGAAACTTTCCATTTGATATTACAAAAGTTGAAGTGCAGAAGTTCTTTGCAGATTTTTCTCTTGCTGAGGATGACATTTACTTGCTTTTTGATGATAAAGGAGTTGGTTTGGGAGAAGCACTGGTGAGATTCAAATCAGAAGAGCAGGCCATGAATGCTGAACGTTTAAACCGGCGAAGATTCTTGGGAACAGAGGTATTACTAAGACTTATATCTGAGGCACAAATGAAGGAGTTTGGTGTAAATTTTTCCTTGATGTCCAGTGAGAGAATGCAGGGTCACTCACAATCATGTGATAGAGATGGCCATGCCCATTCATTTGACTCAAATGATCCACCAGTATATTCAGTTAGCTCTTCTGAAAACTTCAGGCATCAGCAAGAGGACTTGAGGCAACTGGACAGTTTCCGACAGCCTGATAGGTGCCCACCAGAAGACTTTAGGCATTCCCCAGAGGACTTCAGGCGTTCCCCGGAAGATTTCAAATGCCCTAGGGAGGAGTACTTCAGACGGCCTCCTGAAGAGGACTTCAGGCGCCCTTGGGAGGAGGACTTCAGGTATGCTCGCAAACAGGACTGGAGGCGGCCTCCCAAGGATGACGTGAGGCAACTCCCTGAAGAGGACTGGAGGCTGCCTCCTGAAGGAGAATTTAGGCGGCCACCTGAGGAGGACTTCAGGAGACCCCTTGATGATGATTTTGGGCGACTTCCTGAGAAGGATTTCAGGCGTTCTCCTGAGGACGACTTCCGGCGGCTGCCCCCGGAACACTTCAGGCGGCCACCTCCAGAACACCTCAGGCGGCCGCCCCAGGAACATTTCCGGCGGCCACCCCAGGAGCACTTCCGGCGGCCACCCCAGGAGCACTTCCGGCGGCCATCTCAGGACCATTTCCGGCGGCCACCCCAGGACCATTTCCGGCGGCCACCCCAGGACCATTTCAGGCGCCCTCGAGAGGAAGATTTCAGGCACCCACCAGATGAAGATTTCAGGGGCCCTGTGGATGAAGACTTCAGGCATCCTGATGAGGACTTCAGGAACTCCCAGGAGGAAGATTTTAGATGCCCTTCTGATGAGGACTTCAGGAGGCTTCCGGAGGAAGACTGCAGGGAAGCCATGGAGGAGGATCCTAGACTTCCTGACAATTTTAGACCACCTGGTGAAGATTTCAGGAGCCCACCTGATGATTTTAGAAGTCATCGCCCTTTTGTGAATTTTGGTCGCCCAGAGGGTGGCAAGTTTGATTTTGGGAAGCGTAATATGGGAAATTTTCCTGAGGGGAGATTTATGCCTGATCCAAAATTAAATTGTAGTTCAGGTAGAGTAACACCTATTAAGATAATGAATCTTCCATTTAAAGCTAATGTTAATGAAATTCTAGACTTTTTCCATGGTTATAGAATCATACCTGATTCAGTCTCAATACAGTATAATGAGCAAGGATTACCTATAGGGGAAGCCATTGTTGCCATGATAAACTATAATGAAGCTATGGCTGCTATTAAAGATCTAAATGATAGGCCAGTTGGCCCACGCAAAGTTAAATTAATTTTGCTCTAGAGAGCATTTTTACATTGCCACCTCCCCACAGTATTAATGCAGTAAAATGCATTTGTTTTTTAAAGTGTTTATTTTTAATTATCTAATGGAAAGAAGCATTTGAATTTTGACCTGTGAATAGAAAAAATGTAAATAGTAGAATGTGAATCTGGTTTTCTTTTGCTTGCAAATTGCCCTTTTTCTAATTTAAAATTATGCTTTCTTTTGGACAGTAGGGGAGAGAACTAATTCCCTGAGTGCATTAATTTTGTTGTTGTCATGGGTAAGCCTCAAGACTTGTAAAAGTAGAGCTGTATTTGGAGAAGATCTATTTTATATTCACTTTGTTATCATTCTGTAGTCTTCATCCTTTACTCAAACTGTATAAGGAAATGGTCAGTGACTGCTTGTTCAGGTGTAGCATTTTCATTGCTAACTGCCTGCAGAAGTAATGCCCTCTTGTCCAAGAAATTACTGTTAAGCCTCCTGTTAATTATAAATAGTTTAAAATTGACAGACTGTGAAGTTGAAGTTTACTTATGTACAAAGCTTAGGAGATTCTTAAAATTTCCATGTTCTTTGCAAAGTCTTATAAAAATAAAAAAAATGCAACTGATTAGATCAACTAATTCACTTGTATTTGTGTTAAAAAATTATAACTTCCTTTTTGAGGGTTTTTAATAGCTACATTAAGTAATATTTGTGATAGGAGGGACCAAAAACATTGAAAAAATAATAGTGCAGAGTGGTATGTATAGTTCTGTGGTTTCTCCAATATCAGCCAAACTGGTAAGATTAACTCAAAATACTTAAGACAAAAAATAAAGTAATTGTCGGTACAAGGGGACTTTTCAGGCTTATGCTGGGATTAATCTAGTAAATGGATATAGTTTGTGTTTTTAGGAAGAATTTGCTGATGGTTCATATAACTAGTATTTTTCTATTAGGTTCTCATTTTTAAATTTCAAGACTTTGTATCCAAAGACTCAATAATTAAATACAAGGCTTGCAGACATTGTGCAAACACTGAAATTGATTTTCTATACCCATAATCATATTAATGGCTAATATTTATTGGGCATTTACTGTGTGCTAGGTAGCATATGTGCTTTACATGCATAATCTCGACCTTAATGTTCTATAAGAAGTATAGAGTATTATCGGCCTGTTTCACAAATAAGATAATGAAGTTTTAGGAGGTTAAATAAATTGCATAAAGTCATAGCTAGTGTATGATGAAGCCAATTTCAACCCAGTCAGACCACTAACTCCAGTTCATGCTCTTAACACTTTTGCCTACCAACTTTGTTAATTGGTGTTAATTTTAGTAGGAACATGCTAAAAATATTTTCAAGAGTAAAGTATTTTATCTCCATTGTTGCTTTAAAAATAGCATTTAAAAAAGAATGACTATGCTTAAACATTGTTCAGAGAGGAAATTCAAAAGTTTTTAAATATATTTGGGTTTTTTTTTGTATACTAACTATACATTGGCTTCTAATTTAAAATTGTTCATTTTATCAAATTATGATTTGATTTTGCTGGCCTTTTATAGTTTATATAAAACAGTTCATTTTCCTTAGTTCTATGATCCAGAGATTTCCCACATCGAATAAATGAGAATAAAACTTGAATTTATATAGTTTAGTCATCTAATGGAATACTGTAGAAGTAGAATGCTTTTGTTAGTACTTAACCAGTTACTGCTGTATTTTGAATTAATCTTTAGGGATTTAAAGAAATCTAAGCAAAGGTGATTGAAGTTTCTGTGTTTTTAATTATAGTAAATATTCGGCTTGCTAGTAGAATCAATACACTGGTAAATTTGGTTCAAAACACATCAGTATGGTTCTTTAGACTAGTAAGCTTATTTAAGTAGCTAGGAGAATTGTTAAATGCAGTATCCAAATCAGGCACAATGAACAAAACAGGGAGAAACATTTTTAAATGCTAAAGATTATAAAGACGGTTCATTTGGTCAACCTTTTTGAAGAATGTGGGAATATTTAAAAATGCTTTTTAAATATATGTCAGCAAAAGCTAAGATTAAGCTGAGAATGAATTAACAGTGTGAAACTATTTAAACTAGTCTGGGGTGCGATAGTGGTGGTAGGTAAAAGGCAAACAATAGTGAACTGAAGTTTTGTATTTTGACTGTAAAATAATGAAATGATATGAATAGTTTTACTCCATGATCTTAACAGTTGAATATATTTTTTTAATTTTTAAAAATATAAAGTATATTATAGAAAGCTGGCTTCTACTGGTTGGGAGCCACTTTTGCACATCTCTTCCCAACTCTGCCTTCAGTGATATGTTGACAAATAGGCCATGGTGGAAGTAATTACACCATGGATATTGGCAAATGGAGCAGATTGGGGCATTTTTCATCTCACAGAGCCAGTTTACCACTACACTGCCAGTTTGAAGCAGAGAGAGAATAATGTACTAAATCCTCATATACCCATCGCTCAGCTTCAATAATGATCTCAGCCAGTTTCATTGCCTCCAACTTCCAAATACATTAGGGGGCATATTGGTTTCCTAGTTTAATACCCAGAGACATTTATCTTAAAGCCAAACATTTTTGTCTAGAAGCTATCCAAAATATAGATCACATTTAGAAAGTAACCTTAATCTGATAACCAGAAGATAGGTAATAATAATATTAGGAGTGCACTTTTATCACTTACTGAGAACATTGTCAAGAGCAGTGGCTCTTAGTCCATATATTACCTATTCATAAGCTCACCTCCATCTCAGTATTAAATAACTATCATTTCATTGAGCTGCATTAGATACTGTATACTTAATTATCTGTAATTATATATCACTTAGTGCCAATGACCCTAATAAATGTAAACCTATTTTGGAGATAAGAAATGAAGGCCTATAGGCTCAGTAACTGCTTGAGTTGGTTGCCTGTTTTTCTTTCTAACAAGGAAGCTAAAGAGGTTTTGACATTTTTAAAGGTCGTTACATTTTAAATGGTTATATGAGTACTATGTAATAGTCTTGGTTTTGTCTCTTGGCCCACAAATTGTAAAAATATTTACCATCTAGCCCTTTAAGAAAAAGTTTGCCAGCCTATGTCTGGTGTAAAAAATTTTTTTACATCAATGAAATTATCATCATATAATAAGTATGCCTTTTGTCCTTAGAACATTTCTTTGGACATGCCCTTAAAATAGTACATTTTATATCAGAATTATCTGCTGATTGCTTTATGTAGCAGGCACTGTTTTAAACTGCACAGGCAGGGCAACCGCTGATCAAGAGAAGTGAGTTGCTATAGTAAACAAGAAATAAACGATAACCCTGTTTTTTTTCTCCCAACTACAACCATATTTAAATACTGAGAAAATAAAAATGCAATGATATCCTCAGATAAGACTGTCAATTCATTTAGGGTTTTAAATGTTTTGAGTAAAAAGTACTGAGGTAATTGTATCACTTAGGGACTATTCTTAGGAAGCAGTGCTTTGTTAAGAAGAGAACCATGAATAACAAAGTCAAAGTTTTGGAGAAAGTCTTTATTTTTCTGTTATGATTAACTGCTTTTATTTTATAAGTTTTAGAAATTTTTATGTGCCTGACTGGGGTCCATGAAATAACAAAAGTACAATTCCCCACCCACATAAAAAAAGTATCAGACACACACTGAAGGCTCTGATTGTTCCATATTTTCAGAAATAAAAGTAACTATATACTCTTATTAATTATAATTAGATGGTAGTTTGGTAAAGTTATTATACAATTGTTAATGATTCATGGTTTCCCACCTTAGGCAACATTCCACCAAATTAGAGCTTTCCAAAATTGTAGTACCACGTATAATGCTTTATTATGACAGAATTTTCATTTTAAAACCAGAATTGGGCTGAATGTTGAATGTTGCTTTTTTTTAAAGCTAAAATTTGTTTTATGTATAGTTGTAAAAAACTGATATCTTAGTGTTCCATTATCTTTAATCAAGAGTAATTACCCTCTTGTTGAAAAGTAAATTTATTTGTCAAATGAAATTTAAAGTTGTTCTAACAGTGGGGGAAAAAAAAGGAAAGGAAAAAAACTTTGCTTTTTTGATAAAGGCTTTGTAGAACAGAATTTCTATTTAATCAGAACTACCTAGGACCCTTTCCTGATAAAACATTGTATCTTAACCATGAGTGGAATTGTTATTTTTTTTCTTTCTCACCTAATTATATTGAAACCTCCACTAGGCATTAGTACAGTAACATGAAATACTTTTGAAACAAAATTTAAAAAAGGAACCAATACAAAAAGATTATATAATGCTAGATAGGATGTTGAAATGACTGGTTTTGTAGTATTTTTTAACACCTTCATTTTTGCTCAGAATAAATTACCTTTATTTTCTATTTTCAGTGGGATTTCATTTATAGGTTTAACATATCAAGTCAATATAATGTTTTAGAATTTAGTAATTCTGGATTCCAGATCATTTAAGCTGAAAATGAAAATGTGAAGTTTACTTAAGAAAATTAATTTTCTTCTGTAACATCTAAGTCTTCATCCTCTTCATCATCATCTTCTGCTTGATGATCCTTTCTTAGTCGACAGGTGGATACCTGTTAGAAGTTAACACATTTTAAAAAATACTAAAATATATTTTTAACTTGGTTGGTATCTTTAATATGTCCTTACACATAAGGGCACATAGAACAAGTATTTCAGAAAAATCCATAAATAATCATTTTTAGTAATGAAAATTCCCTATGAATTGTTTTAAGGCTGAAAATAGTCACAATGTTTTTTCATTCACTTATTTTTTTGAGTNTCGGTATATTATAAATGTTAAAAATATTTTAGGCTAAATTCTTGGGTCACAAAAACAGGTATCAGAATCGTAAAAGGGATGGCAAAACAAAGATATTTCAACTAAGCAGTTGAAATAAACTTTTAAAAAAGTGTGATTTAAATGGAATGAGTTGAGAATCTGAGTTGAGACTTGGCTTTAAGTCTTGACTGTTGGGCGCTTGGCTCATCTTGCTTCAAACCTTTCTGAGGGTGATTACACCTTCCAGGGTACATTTGGCAATGTCTGGGGACACTGTTGATTGTCACACCTGGGGGTGTGTATTTGTGTTAGTGGTTACAAGGTCTTTTCAATGGACAAAATACTTCCTCCCCTACCAAATTATCTGGCCCAAAGTGAACAGTGCTGAGGTCCAGAAACTTTAGGATAATGTATTCTAAAGTGATACACGGATGTTAGCTAACTTAGCTCTAAAAAGCCAAACAAAACTTTGTATTATAATACTAGACTTACAGAATTTACGTATAAGGCACTTAATTCTGAAAAAATAAAAATATAATTTGGTGAGGGGAGAGATGTGTAAGTATAAAACAGCAAAAAATGCTTAGAGAAGAACCAAATGAAAACAAAGTATTTGGTCAAATTTATCTAAAAGTTACATTTTGTAAATGGTCAATTTTAAATTCTGAAGGCTAGATATGAAAAAGGGCAGAGCTCTCTAGATCAGGAGTAGTAGGCAAGCTATGATCCAGTTTGCCTCTTGCAGTAAATAGAATTTTATTACAACACATCATATTTATTTGTTTATTGTTTATGGCTGTACTTAGTTGGGACAGAGACCCATATGGCCACAAAACCTGGTATTTGCTCCTCAGAGAAGATTATTGACCCCTCCTTGTTCTAGATAGCAGGTACTTAGGCTTTTGGGATAGGAAAGATACAAAAATTGGTTCTTTACCTGAAGATCTGTGTTTCTGGATCTACAGTAATGTCCAACAAAAGACATTTTTAGGTATGACTTGCAGTAAGTCATGATAGTGGGACTTAAACCCTAAGTGGATTGTCTTCAGAATTCTGCTTTTTCATATAGCAGAGAACAAATCTCGTTTACCAGTCTCCTGTCCTTTCCCACCTCTGTTCCTAAATGTTATGCTTTAGAGTGTATATGTGTTAATACAAGATGATATAAGAAAAAACAGCTATGTCCTTACTGAAAACACCATAATTCTAGTAAGAGAAAGTTGTATGAGGTCATAAGACTTAAGAGAAACAGTTTTAGGACTACACAATTCCAAAGGCAGCAGCTCATGTTCCTTTAAATTCGGTTTCTAATTTACCTGTCCTATTCCAGATTCACACTTGGCGGCTGACAGTGATCTCTGAAGAGGTGATTTTGAATTTGCTCTTACGATATCTAAACGAGATGAATAATCTGGTGGATACAGAGAATTTCGGAAAACCTGTTGCAACGATAAAGCAACATTATAAAGTAGATACTAAACAATGGAAATCTAGAAAGCCACATTAAGTTCCCTTTAGTTAAGATTTTTTTAAAGCTACCTCTTCCCCTACCCTCATCCAGGACAAAATTTCTCTGATTTATTGTAAACTTAAAGCAAAAGTTTAAAAAATACAAAAATGTTTTAAGTTGGAAAGACAAAAGCAAAAAATTCTGTGTGAATCACGTAAGTTGATGATGGGTTCTGAAACAATTACTTGAGAGCTTTGCTGGGGAAATGTGAAAGTTCTACCTTCAATGATTAGGCAAGCCAGTCGGGAGACTGCAAGGCATATCTTGGATTTTTTCTATCAACTCTTCTTATCAATTGAACTTCACTGCAGTACTTTCATAGTATGTCACGTAAGAGTAAATTGGAACCATTTAAATTTCTGGATTCCATTCTCCTAAATTCTAGAATGCCACTACAGTTCTTTTTCCATAAAGCAGTGATTGTAAATCTTAACCACTCTTATGCCTCCCTATCTGTATCTTTCGTCTTCCCCCATTTCTCTAACATAGACTAATAGGTAAGGTTATCAAATGTGAATTTCTTTAACTTCCATCGTCTTTTCCTCAGCTCTTCATCCCTTTGTATTTTTGAAGCAAATGTTCTAATTCTTTCCAAGGTGAATTTTTCCTTTATCTAAAAGTTGAAACCAAAACAACAAAAGCTTGCTTTCTCCACCAGTAAACAATCTCAAGTAACAATCTCAAGATCAATCTTTTCTCAAAAATTAATTCAAGATATAACTTTACTCCTTAAAAAACTTGTCAAATATCTAAATCACCTCCATTCAGCAACAAACTACAATTAGGCTTTCGACTTCCGCTGAAATTGCTCTTGTCAAAAATCACCACAGTGGTCTTTTTGTCTTCGTCTTCACTGACCTTGTCCTGAAGCTTCTTTCTCTGCATTGCCATCACTGAACTTCTGTGTGCTGGTTGCCCTATTTTCTTCACATCTCCTTTTCTACAAACACCGTAAGTATCTTAAAATTTCTTGGGCCGCTTTCCATTTTTGACATTGTTCTCTGATCTTATCTGTACAGTGTTTAATGGCTACCCTTCAACCAATTCTCTGTAGACTCTTCTGAAGGCCATATTTATGTTCCCAGCTACCTTCTGTTCTGCTAGACTAGCACTGCCCAATAGACCTTTCTGAGGTGATGAAGTGCTTGCTTTTCTGTGCTGTCACTTCAAAAAGGCTACTTGTGGCTACTGAGCTTCTGGAATGCGGTTCATGTGACTGAGGAATTGAATTTTTAATTTTAATTTAAACCTTAAATAGCTACACATGCCTAGTGGCAACTGTTTGGAACAGTGTAGTTCTAGATTCACCTTTACAATGAAAGATAGTAGACTAAGCTAGAACCTGGACATTCTCCCTTAATTTCTCACCTGACGTACTTCTATTTTTATTTATTGATGAACACATCTTTATAGCTTATTTATAATTATCTAAGACCAAATATGATGATTTAAAGACTTTGCGACTACCCTGAGTCCAAATGACTTAGGTGACACCCAAGGCTTAAGATCACCCAAACCTACCTATTAACTTTTGTCTACTAGTCTATACACCTATATGCAGAACATATTATACTCTGTCTTTGCAGTGCTGGTTCTTCAGCCTGGAATTCCAGCAAACTTACTTAACCTTCAAGAGGCAAGTCAATGCCACCTTTCTTCTGCATTCTCCTATTCTCTAGTCAATTCATACTGCTTATACCATCAGCTTTGATCTCACTGTTTTTTGTAATTACATATCTGTTGCTACAACTAGTTTTAGGTTCCTTTAGAGCGAGGAGCCCTGTTTTATCTTTCCACTCCTTCCAGCTTAAGATAGTAACTTGGTAAATGAATGATGTTAACATGAACTTATTCCCCATGTTTTTGGGGAAAAAAAAGAGACCCAAACTAGATGTATTTATACATTTCTTTAAACTTGAGAAATACAGGACACAAAAGGAATCAAGAGGCAAGACTTTTAGAGTAATTCAGGCATGCTAATTAGGTTAACAGGTTACTGGACACCCAGTTATGTTTCAGTGTCAGACACGGAACACTTGCATCCTGGTGTAAAAACGATTAGTCAACTGGTGTTTGGAAGAGATTTTCATTAGAACAGCATTACTTTTAAGCTTTTTAAATATTTCATCAGCAAAGATGAAGTTAAAAGTAGGAAATGGAATATAATATACAATTCTTGGGATAAAAGTCTAAACCAGTTAAATATTAAAATCAGTCTTACTGCAAAACAACAGGTTTACAGGAATATTAATCTACTGGCAATACTACATTTCCCAGTACTGTTCAAGATCTCGTCTAGGAGTCATGATCTGAATATGCTCTTAAGTGACTACACAGAGGTAGTCTTTTGAAGGGTAAAGTGGGCCTGACATTACTTTTTATGTGAAGAATAAGTAAGTTGGTTTGTGTGATATAACTAGATGCCTAAGTGCAAAAAATTAGCTGCTGCCAGAATAGTCTCAGCAGTTTCCATTAAGCATGGACTACCTAGGAAGAATAGAAATTATTTCTCTGTCCTCTGCATATTTTCTCTACTTGTTTCCAAGAAGCCTTGTATTTAAAGAATCCTTTTTCTTCTTGGTACCTGTTCAATATAATTTTACTTTGTTGGGTCCCACAACTCTCCCCGGACTGCTCTCCTCTCCACAATTTCTGTGTGGCATAATAGTAATCACTTATGCTTATATAGTTCATTATGTCTTGGGACCTCTGTATATCTGTACTCTCTGCCTGTAATTCGTCAGGCATCCTCCTCCTCATCCCTCAGACTTCTAATTAAGAAATCACTTTTTAAAATCTTCAGCCCATTTAGAATCCTCCACCACATACACTAGAGCACACTACCTCTTTTATTTATGGGATTGGTTGCATTATAAAACTTAGTTACATAATGTATTTTTTGTAATGTCTGAACTCCCTGGTAGTTTCTGTTTTAACAACTCAGACCATTTCTAATTGATAAGGCTAAATCCTCAGCACTTAAAATAAAATGGTGCCTGGCCTATTACAGGTGCTCAGTAAAGAGTTGAATGGACATTTTATGACACTATTTGTTGAAAAACGTGCAGAACTTGCTCCAAACTGACCCACTAGAAAGTGAGGAAGTTGATAATCAAAAACACATCTACCACACAGCCTGAGATACTTAATTTTTTATGAATCTCCTCCTACAAGCTACCTAGAGAAGCTGTAAAGGAAGTGGTGTGCAAAAAAAAAAAATCCTGGTATTGTTGGAATGAGAGAAAATCTTGAGGCCCACAGAGGCTTGAAGGAATTTTAGCATCAGTTAACAAATGATTTATCAAGGGTATTAGATAAAGTGACTCCAGTCTTGTAGGGGGATCTGTTTCAAACCTGCCACTCAACACAGTGTTGTTTCTTGCAGGAAATGGTTTCATGTCACTCATCAAGAACCACACTTCAGGCAGGATAGTTTGGCAAGGCATTACAGTCAGACCTCTGGGTTTGGCTCCCAGCTATGTTACAAGCTGTGGGACCCATCCTCTGGGAAGTTTCTTAACCCTACTGTGCCTCAGTTTTCTCATACATAGAAAGGAGGACAATAAGTATTTCTTTCAAAGTTGTTGGGTGGATTAAAATAGTATAATTAAAATGCAGAGCTCAGTAGCTGGTCCAAAGTAATCACTATATAAACATGTGCTATTTTACTCTTACAAGTGACAAATAAAAGCTTGATAGTCCATTGAAAAAAAAATAGGACATGAAACATGAAAATTAAGAAGCCACAGCTTTAGTATTTAGAAGGTAGAACACAAAGCATCTCCTGATGAAACAAATATGAATAAAATAGAAATATGATCATGTATGTGGTAACTGGTATAAAACAGGTCTGATTTTGGCATTGGAAAACATATACATTAAAATAGGTTCCTTCATTTTAGTTAAGCTATGTTCTGGTTTTACTGAATTAAGTTTGCTGGCATGAGTGGACTAGTGGGAAGAGAAGGCCTAGTGGATCTCTTTATGGATAGTAAAAAAAAATAATTGGAATCTTCAGAATTGTTGAATGGCAGAGACTCCCAAATTCTATCACTGATCTAGAATTATGGGTATAATTAGATAGTATATGCCCTTTTTCACTTCTATTGTAGAGATAATATGCAGGTCCTGAATATTTTGTCTAAGCAAAAATACTTTTTTGCCCCTTTATCCCTCTTGGAAAGTAAGAGGGTAGGACATTTACTCTAGATGTCCTTGTTGAAGCCAGGCTTTGACTTTCTTCACTGTTAGTTGGCCAGTTGGATTTATTTGCATTTAATCAGTACAAAGCAATATGTCACTCATCAAGAACCACACTTCAGGCAGGATAGTTTGGCAAGGCATTACAGTCAGACCTCTGGGTTTGGCTCCCAGCTATGTTACAAGCTGTGGGACCCATCCTCTGGGAAGTTTCTTAACCCTACTGTGCCTCAGTTTTCTCATACATAGAAAGGAGGACAATAAGTATTTCTTTCAAAGTTGTTGGGTGGATTAAAATAGTATAATTAAAATGCAGAGCTCAGTAGCTGGTCCAAAGTAATCACTATATAAACATGTGCTATTTTACTCTTACAAGTGACAAATAAAAGCTTGATAGTCCATTGAAAAAAAAATAGGACATGAAACATGAAAATTAAGAAGCCACAGCTTTAGTATTTAGAAGGTAGAACACAAAGCATCTCCTGATGAAACAAATATGAATAAAATAGAAATATGATCATGTATGTGGTAACTGGTATAAAACAGGTCTGATTTTGGCATTGGAAAACATATACATTAAAATAGGTTCCTTCATTTTAGTTAAGCTATGTTCTGGTTTTACTGAATTAAGTTTGCTGGCATGAGTGGACTAGTGGGAAGAGAAGGCCTAGTGGATCTCTTTATGGATAGTAAAAAAAAATAATTGGAATCTTCAGAATTGTTGAATGGCAGAGACTCCCAAATTCTATCACTGATCTAGAATTATGGGTATAATTAGATAGTATATGCCCTTTTTCACTTCTATTGTAGAGATAATATGCAGGTCCTGAATATTTTGTCTAAGCAAAAATACTTTTTTGCCCCTTTATCCCTCTTGGAAAGTAAGAGGGTAGGACATTTACTCTAGATGTCCTTGTTGAAGCCAGGCTTTGACTTTCTTCACTGTTAGTTGGCCAGTTGGATTTATTTGCATTTAATCAGTACAAAGCAAACCTTATATATAAACCTACATTTACTTCATAGCTTACTGATTAAATCACACAAAACTGGTTAGAATCCTGATCCTGCTATTTAGTAGCTAAGTAGGCATGGGCAAATTCAGTTACTTAAAACCTTTTACACCTATCTATATAGTTGTAAAGTGAGCATAACAACAGCATCTACCTTACAGGATTGTGTGAGAAGTGAATGAGAAAAATGTATTTTAAAACTTTAGGTATTGTTCATGGCATACACTTAAGTTTTAGCTCAAATCAATAAATGTTATTTTTGGCACAATTAAGTAACTATCACCAGTCAAAATGACACATTATTTCATGTAATGGCTTTATTTAGATTATATTTTACTAGCTATTAACAAATTAAATCTCAGAACTTTACCATGGTTAATTTGAAAAGTTAAAAATGTAAAATCAAAAAAGCTCAGCAATTTGGGACTATGCACAAAAAACTATAAACCACTGTAGTCTTCTAATTTAAGATGTTTTTACCCACACAAATTAATGCTCTTAAAACATTTCCATATTAATAGAAGAACTGAACTTAGTCCTACCTCTAAATCTTCTTCTTCATCAATCTTTTGTATATTTTGATAGGCAGCAGTGAAGACCTCTAAAGCTTTGCCATGAAATAACATTTCGATAGTGATAAATTCTGAAAATACAGTCTAAAAAAATGAAGATTTGAATTTAAAGTCATCTAAGTTGCTTTATGAATTTTGTCAATTTACTCTTACCATAATAGCCTTGGCATTTTGTAAAATACAGAGGTAACTTTTTCTACATAATATAACCAAGATAAAAATAGTTATAAAGACCTTTTACAGGAAATACTTCAAATTATACAAAAAATTTCCTACCTCCCCATTTACTACCCTCCTATTTTCTTAATCTACTTATACCTTGTAATTGACATTTGTGAAAAAAAAGATGTGGCTGAAATGTACACCATTATATACTCTATTACCATATCTATAAGGTTGTGATAAAAAGGCAGTTCAGTTCTGAAGTTGGTATTTTAGCAACTCCAGCTGATGTTAAAACAATAGAATATTTTTTAGACAGGAATTACATACCACCATATTTCTGACTGTATGTTACTTGTATTCTCTAACCACAAAGGATTTACTTGGTAATAATGATATTCCCATCACTGATAAAACATTGCCTAGAGTTTACAAATATATGACTTGCCCAGTATTGATCACACTAGAATGTTAAGACTCGGATTTGATCCTTCAAAGGTTAGAACTTCTGTTCATTATACTGTGCTGTTCTTTCTGTAATCAGTCATTTCCTTCACAAAAAAACTGTCCATGGAAACTCAGTGAGCATAACAGTTATGCAAGGAACTTAATACTTTTGTTATCTTGTCCATTATCAAAAATACACAGTATTAATGTAGAGAGAAATGGGAAGAATAGGAAAGAGTAGAAAATACTCAAGTGTTTTACTTAAAGGGGCAAGACAGAAGAGACGGGCTAAGCTGGAAGGCAACAGTCAAATACCCATTTCTCTTCATTCTTGCTCTCCTGTGTTAACCACTAGATAGGAGTGGTCCTACACTTTGGAAGACAGCCATACACATAACCTCAGAGTACCGTGATTTTTTTTCTCCATTCTTTCTTAAGGATTAAAAAAATTAAGGGAATACTAACAGATTGCTATACAATGGAAACATATCTAGTTGAGTATCCCTTCTGGGCTGCCAAGTACATACGTCAGTCTAACTGCAAAGATTGGGTTGGGGATAAGAGACTTGCAAATATGACTAACAGTGACCCTTACTGCCACTTCATGTAGGCCACAGAGGGCTCTGGTATACTGGAGTGGCAACTGATTTTTCTAGTAAGCATTATGCCAAGATACAATTTTGGATTCACCCCAAGAATCCAGACAAGCAGGAATACTTAGAAGTGGAATAGCTTTTGAGTAGGAGTGGGACTTATCCTCTTAGTTGTCAGTTTTCCTAAGATAGCTTGCTAGCTAGAAAGGAGTCAAGTGCCCTTTCTGAGTGTGGCGACTCGTAAAGGGAAAACAAGAAGGAATCAATAACAAGTTATACACTGAGGACCCTTTCTTGGTTTTTGGTGTACAGGTCATTTTAGGAAATAGGAACAATTAAGCATATATTTACATCTGAATCTTAAATTTAGAGACTCTACATTCAGTAAATAAAGAACTATATAAATATAATAATGCAGTTTGACTTAATTTTTATTCAAGGCTGGAACAGAAAATTTTGTTTTTTGATTATTTAGGTTTAAAATTAAAATTACAGAATAAGTCCATAAGCTTAAGGTGAATACAAGAGGGAGGTAGAGAATACACAGCTTAGAATGTCAGACAACTTATAGTTTTTCTTTCTTGGGTAGGATATTTAGAGACCCATCTGTTTACTTATGTGGATCTATTTACTTATGTAGAGAGAGAAGGTATTTGCCTTATTCTGAAAAGTACCTGAGAAATGAAGTAGCTCCAAGTAAGGGACTAATCTTAAGTCACTCAAGTGAACTGGTATTACTCTTATTAAATATTCTATAAGTGGACATAGATTGTCACACTATAACTAGTGAACTCCAAACAGTTACAACCTCGTTACACATAAATTTGCAGATTAGGCTTACCTCAGATCTGTTCCACTGTGGTAACTGTGGAATATGCAAAAATTTCAAAATAATTTAAAATACTTTTCAAATATTTGAATAGTTTTTAAATTCCTGATGGGCAAAAATCTCTATGTCACCTCATCTTTGAACTAACTTAATTTTTTAGAGCATTTTATAGAAGTTACATTCCCCTGAACTCATAAGTAAGCCCTGAAGAATATGTAGATATGTCTGCTACTTAAGATACACCATTTTATTTATCCATATCTGATAAAGAATATGCTGCATTCTTATTTTAACAGTGATCAACTTTGTATTTTCCAATCTCAAAATTTAGTTTTAATTAGTGATAAAAAGCACTTTAAAAAGTATCTTTAATCTGTACATGGCTATTTACTACTTGGAAGGTGGGGGTAAATTACTCCCAAGTTTTGTCATACTTTGGTTTACTACTTTATGGTTTGAACTTTTATTTCTTGACAAACCTGTATTATACACATATAAGATGGGAATTGTCCCGTTAACTTTTCATAGTTTATTTTTCTGTTGAAAACAGTGATGGGGAATCAGTAGCACTGCTCAACTAGTATTCCAAACTTGGAATTTTTGACCCAAGAGCCAGGAAGCCCAAAGATTATCACAGAGGAGAGATATGCCTGAGTATACTGCAGAGGGAAAATGCCAGTTATATTATTTCCTTTCTAGCTAGAATTTCATGAAATATCTGAAAGAGGCAGAAGGGAGGAGAATAGTAATAAGGAACAGAGAAGTTAGGTGACAACTGGAAAGAACATAAAAGTAAGAAAGAACATAAAAAGCATTATGTTTTTGAAGTAATTTCAGTGAGTTACCAGAAAGGTTGTGGAACTTTCTAGGACCTGTCATATTTATAAATAATTTTCCTCATACATATATAGATAATTTTCAATGATCTCATATACTCTGCTTATCTGGAATGGGCCAGTATGGTCAGGGGTAGAGGCATTAATAAGTTACTTTCCCCATTTTCAACTTTATTTGGTGTGACTAGGCCATTTGGCATGCACTTAATTTTTATTGGTAGTGGATGAGGGAGTTAATCTGAAATTTTCTACCCATATAGGCAAGTATTCTGTAAAGCAGGATGGCATAGTTAGGAATATGGGTTCTGGATTAGGATAAACCTGGGTTCCAATCATGACTGAAATATTCCAGTTATGTAAATTAAGCAGTTTATCTGTTCTTTTTCCTCATTTACTTCATCTGTACTGAGGATAACAACAGTACTAACCTTACAGGTTTAGCCTTAATGATTAAGTGATAAGGATTAAGTGAGATAATCCAAGAAACAGTATAGTATGGTATCTATCTTAGAGTAAGAGCTCAACACATGTTAGCTATTCTTATTACTCAAGAAGTAAACCAGATAAATTAGAAAATGTTCCTTATCTTAATATTAAAGCCTCCATCTGGTTTAATCAACAAGCATGACACTTAACAAAAAAGTTATAAAGGGTCTTGTTAACATTTGGCAAATAAAGGGGAAATGACAGCTATCCAGATTAAAGGATATTCAATAAATACCAGAACTTCTATTCATTTGGAATAATAAAGTTAGATACCTACTTCAAACCATATGTGAAACACAACTGCCAGATAAAATATTTAAATATTTAAAATACTAAAAAATCACAAATACAAGAAGAAAATACAGTTGAGCCTTGAACAATGCAGGAGTTAGGGGTACTAACCCCAGCACAGTCAAAAATGTATGTATAACGTCTTAATTCCCCAAATCTAACTACTAATAGCCTAGTGCTGACTAGAAGCCTTACCAATAACAGTCAGTTAATACATTTTTTATGTTACATATATATTCTATATTCTTCAATAAAGCTAGAGAAAAGAAAATTCTTTTTCAAATCATTGCACATCTCAAAAAATTTTCCAATATATTTATTTGAAAAACTACACCTAAGTGGACTCCATGCAGTTCAAACCTGTGTGGGTCAAGGGTCAACTGTATAAGCAAATATTTACATAATCTTGAGGAAGAAAACCTTTTAAGCAGGACACCAAGGCTGAAACTGAAAAGAAGACCAATAGATCTGGCAACAAAAATGAAACTTTATGGGAAAAATACACCATAAGTAACAAAATGGGAGAATACATTTGTAACATATCTTCTCTTTAACATTAAGGGTTAATTTTTCCAATATAAAGAATTTTTACAAATTAATAATAAAAATGCCAACATTCAATAAAGATACAGGCTAAGGGCAAGTGTACTTTACTAAGAAAAATAAAGCTATTAAAATTAAGATGTTTCTTGCTCATGTCAGCTACTTCACCACACACTGAATTCCTGTCTCTTTCTGTTCCAGGAATGAACCCTGGTCAAGATCTTTTTCGTAGGTCTGAAATTGCCTTGCCAATCACAGTATAACTGATGACTTTTCCTATTACCTGGGAAACAGATGAGTTTGTGATTTTTCTTCCATATTCTGCATGCTAAGTTCCATACTAACTTCTCCGGAAGACAAATTCTTTATAAGGTTCCTATGAAAAATTTTTGTCTAAACATTGTGCTACCTTGCTGATTAATGCTGCTACCAAAATTCAGATAGATATGTCAATTAAACCCTACCTCAAACAGTAATACAGAATGAACAGTGCTCAGTATTGCCAATCATTCCTGCCCTCAGAGGTTAAAGGAGCCAAGAGCTCTGCCACCATATGAATCAGTAGCCTGATGACAGGTAAGAACAAGAATGTTTTATGTCTTCTTAAAATACGAGTGGCATCAACAATTTCAACTTTTCCAAGAATTTTTCACGAACAAATGTTTGTGAGACATGCTAAATCAGTATGGCAATATCTGAATATTGTTTTTATTAGAAATAATGGGCAGTAGTGTAACCCTCTTTGATTATCTTTGAGGCTTTTGTTATGGGATTTGTGCATCCCTCTTATCATAAAAGATCTCAAATGAGACCTAAATTGGAAAACAATTTGAGTAAGGAGGAAAGACATACAGAATGGAAATTTAGAAATCTAACACACTCTGGTATTGATATCTG